TTCATTATGACCACCCCAAAGCAGATATAGAATGCTAAGTAAATTGCATGTTCATTTTATCTTTTCACTTAGAAAGCATACTTTTATATTTTCAGTGCAAAATCTAGACTGTCCTATCACCACCCATGGATTAGGCTAAAGCAACCCCAGTCTATAGAGAGCTCTCCAAGTAGCACAAGAGAGGACGTGGCCTTTTTTCTCCCTCTTCTGTGACCAACAACCAAAGACTTCATTGCTGGCCTTTGTCCAGACTTTACCAACCTGACTCATCTTAATAATGTAAATGTGGACATGCTTTTATATGAATTTCCATATTAGAAAAGTCTGCTCACTTAACACAAAGCACCATTTCAATCACAGACTTTCTTCCTTTCCTACTCAGCAGTGATCAAGAAGAAATGTGGAATATTATTCTTTCTCATTTTGAACAGAAACTACTAACATTTTAACAAATTGATTTTTGCTGAAAATAAGCATAATAAAGAGGGGTTTTTTTAATTGAAAGTGAGGGATTCCCCTGTGCCAAAATATAAGAATTATTTAGCTATCTCCAAGAAGATGAATAAAACTATGAACATAATGGTTGACTTATTGAGAAAGAAAAATATATTATACAAAGACCAGAAAACAGAGTGGGAGAGAAAGGTCTGTAATGGCTTGGCTGCTAAAGGACATTTTTACGCTCATGCCAGCACTAAGTGCTCTTCCCAATGAATAAACCATATGTCCATTTTTATATGCTTCCTTTCACTAAGATTCTGCTACTTCACAATATTCCTTTTGTCCCAGTCCCTGCCTCATCTTCTGCAACCCCCAGCCTGACTCCCCCATCCCTCACTTCACCTCCTTGGGCAACCAGTATTTGTGCCCTAGCTACCAACTTAAGCATCTGCTACCTGAAAAAAAGAAAAGCCACCTCACTGCCTAACATCCTCCAGGGCAAAAAGTTTGAAGGATTCAGCATCCTCAAAAAACAGACACAGGGCTTCCCTGGTGGCGCAGTGGTTGAGAGTCCGCCTGCCGGTGGGTGCAGGGGATACGGGTTCGTGCCCCGGTCCGGGAGGATCCCACATGCCGCGGAGCGGCTGGGCCCGTGAGCCATGGCCGCTGGGCCTGCGCGCCCGGAGCCTGTGCTCTGCAGCGGGAGAGGCCACAGCAGTGAGAGGCCCGCGTACAGAAAAAAAAAAAAAAAAAAACACAGACACAGAAGGGAGAAAAAAAAAAGAAGAAGCATATCTTTTCCAGCTCAGTAAATCCTATCTGTATAAAGATGAAATGGATAACACTTTTAAAAATTCTTCAGTGCAAGGAAGTCCATGTTACCAACAACGTATTGTCTTTCTTTATGCATAGGCAGAGACCCACACATTTTATTTCACGTTTGCAAGGGTCTCTTTTTCAACATATTACCATATAGAAGATATGATAGATCATATATATAACTCTAGAGAACAAAATGCCAATATTTTCCCTCTTTCTCCTGCGCTCTCTCTCTCTCTCTCTCTCTCTCTCTCTTTTTATGTCCCAAAACACTTCCCCACCTGAAGGATAAGAAAATATTTTCACTGAATTAAAGTGAGCCCTGTGTTAAAACAGCTTGCCTGAATCCAACCAGAGCCCTTCAGCCATGGCTCATGGGCTCAGATGCTCCGCGGCATGTGGGATCTTCGCGGACCGGGGCACGAACCCACGTCCCCTGCATCGGCAGGCGGACTCTCAACCACTGTGCCACCAGGGAAGCCCCAGAGCCAGTTTTTTTAAACTTCATTTCAACACTTGGTCAGCGGCTCTTCCTACTCCATTCACTTCTAGCAGCAGACTCGTCTCCAACCTGAATTCCCATCACCATATACCTTTGCCCTCAAGCTTTTTACTAGTCTACTTCCTTGATATGTTTGCACTTACTTAATTTGATTCCATCCTTCATGCTTTTTTCATTATTCTTAGTTCATCCACAACATATAAATTATCACTTTTGTTTTTTTCAGTTCCCCATGTGCCCCCTTCACACCAATTCCAAATAAATACTTCCGATTCTCATCCATTTCATCCAAATTAATTCAGATTCCCTCTCCTCATCCCCCATCTCCACTTCTACCTCCCCTCCTATCCTTCCTATCCTTTCTACCTCCCCTCCTATCCTTCCTATCCTTTCTACCTCCCCTCCTATCCTTCCTATCCTTTCTACCTCCCCTCCTATCCTTTCTCTTCCTCAAAGCACCTACTTTTCCCTCCATGCTTGTCTCTGCAGAAGGTTTTATTGGCAAAATGCTTCTGGAGGGTACAAGGCCATTGCTTCCTGTGTTGTTTTAGGAAAGTCATGCTCTACATTACTGCCAACTTCAATGGGCCAAGGCCTGCATGTCCAACTTCACCCTCCATGAGTAATGTCCTTGTATCATCACCCCTACACTGAAATTATGGAAGTGAGGAAAGAAAAGCTTCTTGTTTTTTGGTGGCATTTAACTTTAAGTGATTTATTTCTAGTTTACATAAAGCTGTTTTTGCACAAAATCACTGCTAATCAAGATCATCGGCAATAGTCACAACTACAACCAACCCTATTACTATCCTTAATGAGCTCTTACCATCTGCCAAGTATTTTACATATGTTTACTCATTTAATCTTCAAAACAATCTAGGAGGTAAATTACCCCTATTCTACAGATGAGGAAATTGAGGCTCAGGGAAGATACATCATGTATCCAGGTCATAAATCTAGGAAGTTGTAGAGCCAGAATTCAAACCCAAGTCTCCCTGACTCCAAAGCCCTGCTCTTAACCACTCTGCAGTACTGCCTTTCTAATAATGCATGGTGCCTTCTTGGGTAAATTCCCCACGGGGAGGAGTCTTTCCACTTTAATTCGCTATAAGGCAAGGGGTTGCAGGTGTTGGGAAACATAATGAGCTCCACCTTGATAATCACTCGGAACAGAAAATGCCCAAAAAACAAAGCACAAAATATGCATCACTCCTCAGAGTTATCCTTCTAACACATCCATTGGAAAGAGGGGATAGGGTAAAGAAGAAAATGCTCTGGACTCACCCCCAAAAAAGACTCTCTGCTTCCCCAGAGCCGTCCAGTCTCCATACTAGGCAGGACATAGCCTGTCTCACATCAGTAATGAAAAAATGTGCTCATAAGCATGAATTCCACACCCCCAACAAAGCTCAACCTCCTTGCCTCATCCTGCCTTCTCTGGTTTCCTGCGGGGAACAGGAGATGAGTCATGGCTGAAGCCTGGGAGCACTGCAATGTCTTCTCGTTACTTCACTCATTGACTTGAGAAAGAAAGACATAAATAAATAAAAACGACCTCCAGGACAATATCAGAGAGAGGAAAAAAAAAAGCTGAAAATAGCAGGAAGCTTTCGCCTTGATGTACGTGGACTGGAGGACTTGAACCCAGTGGGAACCCTGAGTGGCACCTGAACCTGAGCCACAGGTTCAAAAGTTACCTTAGGGGACCTTCCCATGAACCAAGCAAGCGCAGAAGGGAAAGTCACTTCGGAGTTAGAGGAGAGCATGCCTAAGTCCTGTGGTGTGAAGAAGCAATGTCCACGCTCATCCTCCCGTGGGAGTACCTTCCAGGTTCGCGGCGGTGATGGCTTCTAGTCACACATATGCACTCCTACCTCAGGGAAGCTCCTCTGTCCCGCACAAAGACATTTCACAGACCCCCTCCCCCCAGAAGATTAAAGCTAAGAGGGGCCTTAAGATCCAGATTGTTTGGCAGATGTGGAAAATGAGGCCGCCAGTGAGGTAAAGCGATGTGCTCAAGGTCACAGAGCTAGTTAGTAATAGCACTGGAATAGAACCCAGGTTTTCCTGATTTTCCAGCCAATGAACTTTGCACTGTACACTTCCTTGGTGACACAGCCCACAAACCACCACAGAGTACCTGGAAGACAAGCAGTGAGCCCGAAAAGAACTCTCACCAACACATCTAGCCTAGATCCAATCACCTATTTCTCCCTGACAACACTCTGATTCTGCTGTTTATACTTTCGGAGCTTCTCCCTGTTCAGCTTGTACTGTGCATGCAGTATGCAAAAACCATACCAGCAATACACTGTCAAAGACTCATTAAAAAAACCCCAATGACAGTAATTGCTCCTACGATGCTAACCCCAAGAAGAGACACCAGCCCTAAGCTTCCAACTCAAACCAGAGAACAAAGACCAGATTCAAGGAATATGCTAATCTCACTCTTTTCTCTGCAAACCCCCCTCTTCCAAATTATCCCATCGCTCCCAAGATCAACATGATTCCTGGGAGTCACCACAGAAGTCCTGAGGAAAATATACAGTCCCCACCGGTCCCCAGTGCCCTTACCACACACATAGCAATGTAATCACTTTAGCAACTTCTCAGTAACAAGCTCATTAAAAAGCAATTCTGCCATCTCTCCATAAAGCATGCGCCAGAGAACAATGCAAAAGAGGAGATGCCAATTAATTACAGAATGATCACCTCTAATGAACTCTGAAACCCTCCTGCTGTTGGTGACTTTGATGAAAAATCAGGGATGCTGGAAAAAGAGTGAATAGGGACACCTTGGCTACCTTGTTCAATTGTGAATTTCAAATGTACCTCCTCGGATTCCACTGTTGATCCAAACTGCAAAATTACACTGATAAAACAATGAAAAGTGCCAGGAAAGTGACAAGTGCACATATCACGTACGGTTGGGAGCCACACCACCAGAGCCCCTGTTCAGGCATCCTCAGTAGTGTCTGATGCTACACCATGGTTGTAGAATTATTGCCTCTGAAAGTGTCTCCGAGCCAGTGAGTGACAAGCCCATGTCCTGTGCTCAGGACACCTGGAGATCCTAAAGTAACGAGTGAGTCGCCTGCTTCCCCACCCAGGCCCACCTGCCTCTCTACACCTCCTAGTTGGCATGGATGCCACTTCTCGGAACAGAGAGAAGCCCTTCCCACCATGAGGCTAAAGGAGGAGAAAGAAGAAACCACGTGCGGCCAACTTGTACCACTACCTGTGTGAGTCCTCTGGTGGGCCTTTAAGTGGGAGCTTTTTGTATAAACTTTCCGGCACCCGTTAAACTGACAGCGGTGAACCCTCTTCTTGTTTTCGGGGCATGCCTCAGCCCCTACCCCTCCTTGTTCACTGTCGCTCTGTCCACTCTTAACTGTCCCAGCTGCCGTCACGGCTGCCGCTGCTGTTGCCACCCCTCCCACCTTTGCTGAGCTGAGTGCAGCCTTCTTGGCCACCAGTTTCAACGTCACTGTGCCATCCACGGCTGAGAGAGTCTGTGAGGTTTTGACCAGATGGCGGCTGAGCTCAGGGGACGAGGGGGGCGTTAATGAGGTCACTGCGTTGAGCTGGGCCTGGTTGACGGCTGTGTAGCTGTCTAGAGAAGAGCTGGTTGGCTGGAGGCTGAGGCAGGTCTCAGACAGCAACTTGTCCCGAGAGAGCAGAATGTCCACTGCCGAACTCTTCTCACAGATGGTCGCTTCTACAGGGAGCAGCAGGGGGTCTAAGCGCCGGAAACTTTCCTCAATGCACGGGGTAGGAGAAGCACGGAGGAAACAGTCTAAGTCCTCCCCAAAGGTCTCCGAGATCCTCCTAGGCTCCGTCTGCAGGTAGCGTTCCAATTCAAGGCATGTCTGCAGAGGGGAAGGAGGGAGGGAGAGAAACAGCCATCAGAAGCAAAGAACACCACGAGACCACATACTGACAGGCTGAGGAAGAAGATACAGGAAGGAACAGAGAATGTTTCATGGCTCGTATCTGAAATTCTCTTGTTGAAAGGTCTGACCTTGTTATTTTCTCCCTGGACACTTCTGAAGGGTTCACAAGGGTCACATGATATGAGTTCAACTACTATAGTTAATGGGGAACTAGAAGCCCAGAAAGGGCTATCTCACACCATCAAGTTCCCTGAGAACATTTAATGTTAAAATGGTCTCACGCTCCACAATCCAATTCAGCAGGTGAGATGCTCTAAGCCTCCCTAGGAGCTCCCACGCAAGCAAGAAGCAAATAAAATCAGACAAGATTTTCGTATCAAGACTCCCCACAGTCCAACTTAATTTTTCAAATAGACTTTAGCAAGTCACAAAAATAGGCCAATTTTCCAACTTGCCCTGAAGAATAAACCATGCCCACCCAAACTAAGTCATGAGCTGAACCAACAGCAAGCCCTGCCTTGGGAATG